CTGCCAATCCCGTATCTTCACTAATGCTCCTAATATTAGTTTTTTCGTTTTCAACAACGCTCAAACAAACATTGAGTTGTTCTTCTTCATTATCGATAATGTGGTTTCTTGAAACGATTGTCCACAGAACTAGTTTTACTTAATGTTTTCAATATCCTTTCCATGGTACTAAAGTGAATATTTCTTCGTGGATGCCGGTGATTGAAACCTTTCGATATGATAAATTCTGACCACATAAAAGAACGATCTCCAGTTTGTCTTGTGTGGATAACATTGTACATAAAACTTATTCGTTAATTATGAATGTACGAAAATCTGTACACAAAACAACTCGATTCATGAAACGCAATAATTTGACATTAACCAAAACCAAAAATTTGTTTCAAATGCCTACTAAGGGAAATTTTGATCGATAACTATTATTTTTTTTCCGATATGTTGCATTGGTCTTGTTATGTTTAAAATAAAAAAAAATCATATCATGTTTAGTACAAATCGCTAGAACGTAAGTCTTTTGAATAGTTATTAACCTGTAGGTCAATGTTTAGTTAACAGAAAAATATGATATTTCGGGTTAGTTTGTAAATGAATGATTGATAGAAAAATTTGCAAACTGAATAAAAATCTAGCAACAAAGACGAATGTCTGGAAGTGTATTTACTACTTTTTTCGATAGCAGGCCAATGCGGATATTTTCTGACATTGAAGTCTCGTATTCATAAAAAATATGGAATTTGAATCATGTTTTGTTCGAATCGATAGAGCGAAAGATTTTAAAAATTGAAAAAATTGGAAAAACATCGAAGTGACAGTAGAGAGTCCAATTTCGAGCATGGGTATAAAATTGAAAATTCAGCAACTTTTCTCTTTGTCATTTTCCAAAATTTACAAAATAACTGATTTTTTAAGGATTTTTGAAAATAATGTCAAATTTGACAGGTTTCGAGTAGAACGCGGCAAAAGGAAAGAAACTGTTTTTCACTAATTTTTTAAGCACAAATTAAATGCGAAGTTGAATTTTTCTTATATTTATTAATAAAAAAACTTCCATATGTCGCGAACTTAATGTGTGACACTGTATATAAGGGTTCGTATTCCAAAAACTATTGAACCTGATCATTTCAATGAATTTCTTTCACTGACTGAGATCCAACGATAATACGCTACAGTGTGAATTCGAAAGAGATAAATTACAAATTTGTTTTTTTTCTACTGTAGAATGGTAGCTTGTTCGAAACGTAAACTAATTAAATAGATAAGTCTGATTTACCTGTAATATTGTTAAAGTTCGTAACTGAATTACTTCAGTTAATGATATGGTTTCATTTGGGAACAAAACACAAGCACTACAGAAAAATCACTAAGGAGCTCTAGGAGTGGTGTCTGTGCGAAAGTAGCGATTCACATTGGATTCGAATCGCTGGAGATTAAAACAATGAGCAGCCACAGTCCATCGCTCATTTTTGATATGTATCGCTATTGGTGAAATCGAATGTGCCAAGTTACTTCAACACTTCCCGAGAAAGTATCTATAGAAAAGAGAAAGATCAGGGGATTGGCTTTTTTCTAGATGAAATTCAGCAACTTCAGGGTAGGCTTAGGGGTGGAGCTTCATACATGATAACAATACTCCAAAGAAGGTCTGATCTGAGCTTTATGAAGCGTAAAAAATTGCTGAGGTGTGTACAGTTTTCTGTTTCGGAATAGTGTTCCGAGGTTTTGAGAAGCAGCCGTTGCAATTCCAGCGACATGATTGTGCCGAGACATACTGGCCTTCAAGAAACTTATCGAGGCAGAAAGCGCAATTGTTTGTCCTGTCATTATTATATCCGGTTCGGAAGCATTTTATCTTTTTGGAGAAAACCGATGCCTGGGTTTTTGTTGTATCGAATTGAATCTGGTTACTTTCACCCCAATTCGAAATCACTTCTAGATCCCCATTAAGATATGCAACCTCCTGCTGCCGGTGAAGATGTGCATCCGCAACTGATGGAATACAAATTGAATGACAAGTATGCTGCCGTCAGCAAAACAATTTATTGAATTCTTGTTTTTCCAATAAGTCGTTGATATACAATAAAAAGAGGGTTGGAGACAATACGGATCCCTGGGGAATACCAGCGTTGATGGTTAAAGTATTTGAGAGATATCCATCGACGGCAACTAGCAGGAAACGTTCTTTCAGGAAGCTGGAGAGCCATGTACAAAAATTATTGCATTTGGCCGTAATTTTCAAAGGCCTTAGAAATATCAAGCGCAACAGTTCTTCACTCTTCATGTTTGTCGATTGCGTTATTCCAAATATGGGTGAAATTCGATAGAAGGTCGCCTGTTGATCTTTGTTTCCGAAAGCCATATTAATGATCGCTCAAGATGTTGAAGCCTTCCAAATATTAGGTGGTTTACGACTTTCTCCATGATTTTTGGTTTCACTGATGGCAAATCAACTGGTCTATAGTTATATGGAAGATTTTTCTTGCAATCATCCTACAAGAAGGAAAAATCCTTCTTTGTAAGAGAGTTTGAAAAGTCTGAAAAATACTAGTACGAGTGGGTGGTGTCTTTCCCAGAAAATCGACTGTGAAGTGGGAAGTAAATTGTTCAGCTAGTAGATTTGCTTTTTCTATAGCTGTTGTTGCAATTGAACCATCTGCTTGTGTTAGTGGTGGAATTGTGGATTTTGTATAGTTTTGATTTACACCTTTAGCTACCGAGCAGAAGTATCTAGACCCTTTGGGATTGGTGAGCAGTTCAGCTCTTATTCTCTGATTCTCAAGTTATTTGCTTTAATTTCTCAGCTTTTGCGATCATTAATGAACCTAGTTCGGTTTTCGAGCTTGCTGTAATAATTAGTGCCAAACCATATTCAGATTTGAAGTCTCATTGAACAGAATTTGTGATATCTGTGAACAGAGTGAATGTGAATGTGTGAGACATTGTGTAACTACGAGCAACTCCTGCCGCACCCCTACTTGGTGCTCTTAAGGCACTCAGATCAGTGAATAGTGGTCCAGATTTACTTTCAAATGGTATTATCTAAGTATTTTCACTCAATGTTTTTCCCTCATATTCTTGATAATCATTTTTGCATTCCTCAATGCATTCGATGCTCCTTTTCTGGTTCCGCTTATATCAGAACGGTATAATCGAGATTGATTTTGTCTGATATTCCACGTTTGAATTATTTTACTGCCCCCACCCATTTATATTCAAAATATTTCGCATTTCCTTTTGGTTTTCATTCCTGTTGTTACTAGTTGAGCAGCAGCCATTTCACTTTAATTCAAGCTGCATTTCCGAGCACGTAATCAGCCTTATGCCTTTCTTCAATTACGTAGTATATATTATACGGATGTTGAAAATTTTATCGAAGTAATAAAAGAGGGTTATTGTTTTGAGCTTGAGGAACCTGACTTCTATTGTTTTTGACAAGCTCATTGATGTCAGGTTTTAGTAAACATCGATTGTTGACCTTGAAGTTTAGATTTTAAAGATGACAATGTGTCCATTCTTATTTTTTCAGTGTAACGTCAATGATTCATATCATAACGTCTTATATACATACATACATAACTCCTTACAAAGAGGAGTTTGATTGCAAATCAAACACAGTGGTTTGCCTTTCCATCCTATGAAAAAACATGCAATTTTCCATTCAGACTGAAAAACTCCACACTCACTCACTCACTCACTCACTCACTATCAACTTCACATTTTTGTGACATTATGCTGAAATCGTAACAATTATGGAACTCGACACAACATTTATGGATATCACACGCCCACGACAAAAACAAATGCACAATTACTAGACTTCTCAATCACTACGCAGTACAGGTAGAATCCTCCTCCGACCGTATCGCTTCGTTTACTCGACTCAACAGACTCACGTCGCGCCGACGCACTCCTTTTATATCGATAAGGAAGGTTCTAGTCTAAAGCGCGTGGAAGATTCTATTGTTTTCAACAAAAATAATATGGTATTTTCGCTTGTTGCTAAGAGATGGCATTACTGTCTATGATTAAATTCTTTACTAGAACTAGGTACCAAACTAACACTCTCTCGCTTGTCTAGGCACGCATGTTTTTCTGTGATACATTGAGATCGCGAACCATAGTGATACATCCCGGGGGCCGGATGCGACCCGCGGGCCGTATCTTTGACACGACTGATCTTAATGAACTTCAGGGGACTGCCATGGTAAAAAGTTGAGAGCGTATTGAGGCAAGCAGTGCGTCTTCTCACCAGTGGTTTTTTTTACGGATTGAACGTGACAATGCAGAATCATCTCACTGTCGCGTTCGACTGCATAGTAATGATCGTTGTCAGTGAGCGTTCGAAAACATGAAATTAAAGATGCCAGCATGCGCAAGCTGAAACTGCATACACTTCCAAGGCCATATGTCATGCGACGTCACTAGTGGTGAGGGAAGGTCCACAATCGGCTGTAATTTCCGACGTCATGAGACGTGCTACCAATGTTATCGAATCGTTTCGGCTTTCGATGTCACATCTTAGGCGTAGAGTTGAAAAGGGGTGATGACGTTTTTAAGTAACCAACATGCGCAAGCTGAAACTGCACACACACATTTAAGGCATATGCCATGCGATGATGCTAGTAGTAGTGGAAGGACCTGAATCGGGTGTAATTTCTGAAATTTTGTAACGGGCTACCCAAGATTGTCGAATCATTGAGGCTTTTGTCAAGCCAAGTCATATGCGGAGAGTTAAAGCGTTAACTGTTTGAGATCGTATACTTCAATTTCATCATTGTAACTCAAAATATATAGGAAGATGCATTTTCAAACTTATTCAATATAACTTATTAGTATACTCTAATGAGGAGACACATACTTACAATACTGATAATTTGTATCCTTTCTGAACTATTCTCTTCCGAAGTTGAAAAGTGAGGAGAAAATAATAGATATGAAAAAAGTCTCAATTCCAGTCTCATTATCGATTTGTTTTTTTTTCAACTGTCAATTATGTTTTTCAGGTTCACAGAAAGAAATATAGAAACCGCTATGAAGTTACTGTCCCTCTCCATGACAGTTATAATGGCAGCATTTTCCGCAAATGGTGTGTTAATGGTGAAATTATTATGATACATGGAATATTTCCATTAAAAATGCAGATAACCCATTCGTTTCAATGTCATTATATGAATTGGTTGCTCTTTGTTATTCGAACTGTCAAACTCTCAAATTTTGTAACTTAGAGAGTGGAACTTTGAAATTATGAAATTCTAATCAACTATGGACATGTATTAGTAATGAATATTTCCACAATATCTTATAGAATTGTCTGAATAGCAGACATTTTTATTTTCGATGATGAGAATAAAGCAATATCTGAAAACTAATTTGACTATGAAAACATTTGCATATACGAAATGATATTCAGGATCCTATCAAGAGTTTGTCTTTGGGTATAGAAAACTTCATAACTCAGTCAAAAAATACACTCTAATGTGAGATTTCCATTAGCACGATCACAGTAAATAACTTTGCATGCCTACTATTCAGTTGAAGTATAATAAATGTAATTTTTGCTAGCAACTTATATTATTATGTAGTATATTATGAAGGAACGTTATTGTTGAAATGATACGTCTAGTATTCAGTGAGATGAAATTGATCTCATTGAGAAGTATAGGGTAATCAATGTTGCAGTCTGGGTAAAAACATTATATTTTTTCAAAAATGAATATTTCAAAAATGTTCTTTGAATACGTTCCATGGAAGGGTAGCATAATATGGTTAACATATTAATACCCCATATTCTAATTTGAAGCCCAACATTTCATTAGCTGAAAACAGGGTACTTTATATACCGAGTCTGAATGACATCTTTTGGTCAAATAGAAAGCCAAGGTCGCGTATTTGAGTCAAACGATTCAAGATTGTATTATAGATATTGTATGAAAATAAGTATCAATGCATTTTCTTTCCTCGAGAAGATAACAGATGAATATTGGTTGATACTCAACTTAAGGTGGTTTGTAGTACGCTATACATACAGGGTGTTAATTTGAAAACTTCCCACACTTTAATATCTTCCTTCCAGTGAATAATAATATGAGAAATCGAAGAAACAGGTTAATTATATAGTCAAGGGGGACACTTTTAAGGAATATTTGTAGCCCAAAGAGGGGAAGATGTTACCCTTAAAATCTTAAATAAAAAGGGGTTTTAAGTGGAACATTATTTTGATTGGCGTTCAATTCTGCTTCCAATGGTACCCTGAAGTTTTTTTCATGAGCAGTTTTCGAAAAAAAGGGTTCTAAACTTACATAATATGTAATTAGAATTAGCCTGTTCTGAAATGGATTATTGTATTGACTCCTTTCAATGAAAATGGTCAGAACAGTTAGAATAAATGTATTACTCGTGGAATTTTTTATTCGTTGGTTATTATCCTTTTACAAAATAAAATTTTATTTGCGAGAGAGAGATTTAAAACATGAAATCTACTCACGCCTATCTTATGAACTGTTAAAATGTCATCCATTTTGCTCTAAACTAGTAATTTACTGGCATGCTGCTGTAATTGGTCTTTTAAGTTCTTAAATATCAAAAGGTTGTGTTTTATAAACAACAGATTTGAGATGCCTCCAAAGAAAGAAATCTAAGGGTGTTGAATCCGGTGATCTCCGAGGCCATTCAACTGATCCCCTTCTGATAATCCATCTATCCGGAAATCTCTCGTTCAACTACTGTCGAAAATGATGAGGTGGAGCACCGTCCTGCTGGAAATGTAACAGATCCTCCTTCAAAAGTGTATCACCTTCTGCATCCTTTTGAGTTTCTAGCTCGTGAGTTATAAGAGGATTGATAGTCACTTCAAGCATTTCAGAGTACAGACTGCCAGTCAAGTTTTCTTCCAGAAATGATGAACCAATAATGGCATTTCCAAGAATAGGTACCAGCCCAAACATTAACTTTTTGTGGGTATTGTGTATGCCCTTCCTGAAAACTATGTGGATTTTTGTCACTCCAATAACGACAATTTTGTCTATCAACATTGCCATTCAGAAACAATGATCACTCATCGCTGAAACAGATGTTTAACAGAAGATTAGGAATGGTATTGACTGGATGAGGCATGATTTCACTAAACTCTATTCTTCTATTTTGATCATTCTCGTGGAGCTCTTGAATAATCTGCATTCCATAAGGATGAAATATACGCATTCTCAATGCTTTTTTTACAGTTTCGCGTGACATCCCAGTCTGTTCCTGATACTGATCGTAAGGAGCTCGTACGCTCTGCAGCAAATGTTTCCAAAACTTCAATATGAGCTGCTTAATTCAGTACTCTGGGGTTATTTCTTTTTTTATTTGTCACTGAACCAGTTTTTCAAAACTCATTCATCAAATTGAGTACATACCGGTGATTTACAATACAATTTGGATGTTTTTTGGGAAAGAAAGTTTTTGGCTTTCTACTACTCCATCGTGATACAAAAAAAAGGGATGAGGGAATATTCCGAAGAAAGGAAGGAAGTAATCAATTTGAAACTGAGTAACTCTTTCCCAAAAATATAACCCCTTCAATTCAATTTGGATGTCTTTCGTTAAAAAGACATGCTGCCCTTCGTGTGCACTTTCCAACTTCTCCATAAATTACACTTATCAAAGTAATCACTAAACAGCCCAACAGGTAGGTACAACTGTATGCACAATACTATCACATCGTTCAAATTTGCAAACCTTTTTTTTGCCTAAAAACAGAAACTTTCCACAGCAGAAGTAGCAAAAAAGGGCGGATATCTGTACACTTTCTGCGATGAGAATCAAAAAGTCAGCATTTACCAAACACAACATTACTGCCATCTACGTTTTACTATTAGACTACTTTTTGATGTAAATTATTTGGAGCTAATAGTTGAAATTACCCTAATGAAGGGTTGGAACGGTACCACCGGTACCAGTTCTGGTCAAACCATGCATCTCAGTATAGGCGTACTAGTAATTGCTTCTGTAGTTCAGAACGCTATTTTTCGGGAAACAATGAGTCAGGGTAACAGAAGCAAAATTGAACGCCAATGAAAATGATGTGCCACTCAACCCTCCTTCCCATTTGAAATTCTAAGGGTAACATTTTCTAGGGTTTGAATCACAGGGCTACAAATAGTACTTGAAAGTGTCCCCCTTGACAATGTAATTGACCTCTCTTTTCGATTCCTCACATTGTTTACTGGAAGAAAGATTTTGAGTGTGGGAAGTTTTCAAATAGACACCCTGTATACTGTGTTGATGTCATACTATAATGAAGTACAATCTTAAGTTGTAAGATACTTTGATGAATTTTCAAGTCAGCTGCATATAATAGGTGGAGAATTAAAATTCTAGGGTGAGGTCATTGATGAACAAAAGGTAAGAATCCTGTAGTATTCCTGAAGTTGGTGTTATGATAAGTGAGTGGAAATCTTGGTAGTTTAGAAGAGAATCCTGATAAACTAAGCTTTCGTAATGAAATTTCTAGGTCAATTCTGTCGAAGGCTTTTTGTATATCCAAGATTTCGCAGACATATTTGTCACACAGGACTTTTCATCAACGAAATCATGCTGTTTAATAGATAATATACCCTTTGTAGTATTGAACATGTCTTTGTAGTGAAACATTTCGAAAATTTTCGCAAAATGTTTTATTTATTTATATCGAATTGCCATTTTTGAGTATTGGTGAAATCCTTGCAAGTTTCCACGTGTTAGGATATGTGTTTGTTTCGATTATAAAAATGGAAATATATTCCAAAGGTTATGACAATGTGATAATACAATCCTTAACTAGAAAGCGCGGTATTTGATCTGGGCCTACGAATAATTTATTCTTGAGTTGTTTGGATGACTCAATAACATTATTTTCTGTAATGCCATTAAAACTAAAACTGATAGTGGGCAAATTGGCTTAATCGAAATCAGCCAAAGTATATACACTGAAGAAATATTTCCCAAAAGCATTTACAACATCTTGCGTGTTTGTTAATATCAAGTCACCGTCCTTCATTACTACAGGAATTCTACTGGTTACCTTTTCCTTACGTACAACTGATTCGGATATTTTCTTAAATTACTTTCAGCCTCTGAGATGAATTCACGATAATTATTGTACGTGGTTAGAAGTGGAGTTTCCATCATATATCTAGGAATAAATGCTGGCGTAACACAATGTCAATTCTCGAATTAACTATATTTTTGGTTATATAAATGATCTCTTCCATACGACGACCTGAAAATCCAGAACTTTGTCAATGATGATGCTACAACATAGCCACTGTGAAAAACCATTCTTTCCAATCAAATTGTTTCTTCCAAATGTATAATCAATTTCGTCACATATCATTGTACATGGTTTATATTCAAGTAGGTTTTTTTATTCGGGTAGCTTGATTGTGGAAAATATGTTCAGGGTTCGACAGTGAGTCAGGTGATACAAAATAAAACTTTATTCTTATAACTATGTACAGATGAATAATGAAGATCATATGAGCAAAAATGATAAAATCCATTCACAGGTATTGCACTCGAACATCAAAATATCTCAACAATTTTTGAAACTACATAATAACACAAATAAATATACAACATTACTTCCTATAAATTCGGTGAATATAAAAACTAAAAACCGGAGAAATACAGATACAGATTGTTAATTTTTTGAAGGATTGTTTTCAATAAGTCATGATGAGTTCTCAGCAATTTTTTCAGAAAATTAATTATCTGTAGGATATACTTATTCGTTAGCGAGGAAATTATCACAAAATATTAATAATATTTGCGTCATAAATTTCAAGAATAATAGATACAGTAAAAGAAAATATTATTTCACAATATACGCATATTGTGCTCACAACTGCAAAAAATGTATCATTTTCATCTGTTAGTTCAGACAAATATCACAAAGTAGATTTGGCTTCAAACTCACCATGATGTTGAGGGCACCCCCAAACGGCAGCAATCGCTAACTCAGAGGCAACTTGGTGATAAGTCCTCCAGAAAACCATTTCTAAAATGATGATAATGAAAATGATAATTACAATAATAATAATAATGAAGGGATGTCAACTAACAACCTTGGCCTTTGGTGAGTTGCGCCACCATTTACCCGAGCAACTGGTGCAAAACCGAACCGGCAGCCCAGGCACTATTCTCGGCCGTGGGTCCACAGGGCTAACCACCTGGTGGACCCATCACTAGGTTCTTAGTAATTAAGGAAGGGGCCCACACAATCGACCCGCTCGGAGGGGTCAGAGGCAAGGTGGTGGGGTCCAAAATGATGATTTGCCTACCGATGACAACCCTGGCAATGACAACGGACGCTTTGCGTGGACGCATGAGCTAAGAGATAGCCTTTTGT